AATGCCCCCCAACGCTTTTTTTTAAAACAACTCTTGGGGAATTTTAACCCCTTTTCCCCCCCCCAAGGCCCCCACCCTTCACCCCTCCCCCCCCCCCGCGTTCGACGCTCAGCCGTGCAGCCATGTCCTTTTACAACCTCCACGTGCAAAATCCCTGCCCCTCGCCCTACACCTTCCCTTTCCAGCAACCGCACCCCTTCTACTCCCCGTACTCCCCGTACTCGCCATACGCGCACTACCTGGCCCAGGCGCAGCAGTACCGTTACACTCCGTACTACCCGTCCTCCTACCCGCCGTACCAGCCTCCACAGGCTCCGCAGCAACCGCAGCAGCCGCAGCAGCCGCAGCCGTACCAGCCGCCGCAACCCGCCTACCAACCGCAACAGCCGCCGCAGCAACCACAAGGCTACGGCGCGGCCGTCGCGGGATACACCGGCCCGCAGTACACGCACCCCATCGCGCCGGGCGTGCAGCTGGACCGCTTCGGCCTGCCGGTCGTCGACAACGACCCGCCGCTGCAGTACGCCCAGACGTTCCGCCTGGAGGAGAAGGTGCTTAGCGCCAGCCGCGACTCGTTCTCCATCAAGGATGCGCAGGGCGTGCTCCGTTACAAGGTCGACGGCTCCATCTCCCTCCACGACCGCAAGTCCATCTCGGACATGCACGGCCGTATACTCCTCAAGCTGCGCGAGGCCCGCCTGCACCTGCGCGACCGCATCACCATCTTCGCTCCCACCGACGTCGCACTAATGATCCTGCAGAAGACCACCGCCATTCAGTTTGGCACGAAGAGGGTCCACGGGTATATTGGCGGCCACATTAAGCACGCCCCCGACCTCGTCATCACTGGTAATCACAATAAGACTTACTACAAAATTATGAACTCGAGGGGGCAGGAGATCGCGGACGTGCGCAGGCAAAAGTTTTCGCTTAAGAACATGCTCACGGACCAGGACACGTACCACGTCACGGTCAAGGCCGGGTCGCCCGCGTTCGTCTGCTTCCTCGCCGTCGTGCTAGACGAGATCTATGACGATTAACAACGCGGTAGCGTAGCATCGGAGTAAAATTGTGCTGTTTTACGCCCGCGCCTCACTGTCAGGTGCATCGCGGTGTCGCCGGTACTCCGTCAGCCTGTAAAACAGTGCATGAAATAAACGCGCGCGCGCCGATGTTTTTCCGCCCAGGCGCGCGTCTTGTTAATCAGTTGAACAAGGTTGGCCCCCTTCCCGTGTGTATGGTTGTGTATGGGTCGGTAATTGGTGCTATGGTATGGGTCAGGTCGCCGTTACCGACGATTTTGGCGACGACCTTGCTTGCCTGCCAATGCTTTGTCGAGGTAGAAAAAAGGCGGCCGGGCCAATTATGTGCGTGCGTCTCGCGCAAACCTTGCCAAGAGTAACGGGAGTACACTTGTCGCATCTGGCGCCGCCTTGTTCTGCCGCTAGACAGCAACGCAAATATCTCATCTCTCTCGCTCCCCGCACCGCCACCTTCGCCGTCATCCATTCTCATGTCCATAGTATCGACATGACAATGATACTGTCCAGTCCTGTACCTTTGCTTCCTCCCGTATCGAATCGATACTGGGCAGTCTTGTACCTTTGCTTCCCCCCATATCGACTCGATACTGGGCAGTCCTGTACCTTGCTTCACCCCGCTGCGTTGCACCTCCACGCATACGCTATGCACAGTATGTGTGTGTATGTGCCGTGCACCTTCGCGCATACGATATGCACAGTATGTGCGTGTACGTGCCTTGCCTCCCCCCGCTGCGTTGCACCTCCGCGCATACGCTATGCACAGCAAATCCCCTAATCCCGTAATCCCCTGCTACCGCAGCCGCACCACCACACCCAGCCTTCCCGCACCCTTCCCATCGCCGCTAGCCAAACTCCCGCGCTGACCATGCCTTGGCCAACCCCTTACATATTGTACAGTACAATCCTACTCCTGCTCGAAACTTTCCCCTTCCTTACTCCACTCCCTCTCCGCCGCTCCGTCTTCATCTCGCCGAGCTCTACCCGCGACTCGACCGTCTCCCTCCTCTGCGCACGGCCCTCGGATGCCCTCTGCTTCTCGCGGGCACGATCTCCTCCTCGATCTCCTCCTCGATCTCCTGCTCCCTCCCGTCCGCCTCCGCCTGCGAGCTGCGTCTCTTCCTCCCCCTGCCGCCCTGCTCCTCCTCGCACTCATCCTCGTCCTTCTTCACCCCGTTCAGCTCGAGTTCCCTCTCCCTCATCCTCTTCTCCCTTCCGATGTCGCGCGTCCACTGCCGCACCTGCGGTAGCTCAATGATCGCGCGCGGCCCGGGCGTCAGCTTGGCCTCGCCTTCGCGCCGCGTGATTCTCAGCCAGTGCAGCTGGTGCAGCTTCTGGATGATCCGCCCCACTTCCGCCACCGGGAGGTTGCGTTCCGTCGACACGTTCTGAGCTTCCACGAGGCTCATCTCGCCTCCTTCCATGTCCTGCAGCTCCTTCAGGATGTTGAAGCACACGCCCACCTCCGCCTTGCCCAGGTGCGTCCCTACCCGAGACGCCTCGTCTCCAATCGTGTTGCACACACCCCAGTACGTTTCGTCGTCCCATGGCGAGTACATGTTCTTTATCTGCAACTCGGCAAACTCGAGCTGACTGTAAAAGGAAGGCAGCAGCATGGAAAGGGTCAGAATCTTTGTATCTTCGTCAACATTTTTGACATGAATACAAAAAGAAAATGCTTACGAGTTGATCTTTCCCACTCGGTGTGCAAGGCCCTCTCTGTTGCGGAGCTTTGCGGCTTCCCGCCCATTCGCATCTTCCACGCAACGGTTAAACCTCTTCACTGCCTCCGCCGTCGTCAGAACCTTCTCTGCCATCAGCCATTGTAGGAATGACTGGTAAATGATGTGCAAGCCCATCTTTTGAGGTATGTGACCGTTGTAACTTTTCTGCGGCGATGAGCTACAACTCCCTGGACGACGCGGATGCACTTGACTGACCCTTTTTCGCGGGAAGCAGTTCATGCCAAAATCAAGACATTCCCACAAGAAAGCGTCACACGTGTACACATATACAGTGCGTTGCAAAATAATAGCCGAAATACGATTTTTACAAAAGTCATACAAAAATTGACTACACACCGTTTCAATTCTTCATAAATATCTAACACGTACAGTATGTGAAATCTCGGGCGCACACAACTGACCGAATACTGCTCATCTGTGGGCCTGGGTATAAACTTTATAATAAACACATGTTTCAAAAATATAGCGCTTAGGTGGAGATTCTCTAAGAGCATCTCCACCGGCGAGGGTCTATGGGATATAATGTATTTGTCGGAAAACCTCTATGACCAGGTTTTTCCTTCTTGAGTCAGGTCTGATTCTGACGCAGGCGCACTGGAGCCTGAGTCGTTCCTTGCTCGGAACGCGAATCGGGTGAAGACGTAGGTACGGATTCCGCGCAGGAGGGCTCCGCCAATGTAGCAGTAAAGCTTCAGTTGTTTATTCGTGATCGTCTTGGCCGAGACTTCTCAATGCGCGGTAGTCGCAGGTGGCAAAGTACTCGAGCACTACAGTTCGAGTACTGTCTGTTCCCAAGTGACAGTCTTTCGCTGTACTCTGTCTCAATTGCAACACTAAAGTCCCCGACATTTGGTCTTCTCTAGTGTCTATTGGACATCCTGCCTCATATGAGGATCAAATCTTCACATGAGGCAGTGTTTTGGCGGGATAGCGCATAGGAACCGCAACGCCCCAAGAGCTCATTTCCCACCAAAATTTGCTCATTCGTGTCCTCTATAAACGCCCCTAAAAAGTTTTGGCATACGCCATTCGATGATGAAGTTACTCGCCAGTTTGCATCCGTCGTCCGCCTTAAACTAACACCCTAACTATGCCTACCGATCTGCGCCTCTCTCGGGGTACATTAATCCATGCCCTGGCGTCCCGAGTTCTGGGCAAAAGGACGGCAAAGATTGTCTTTGATACACAGTACACTGACACCCATTCGGATGGTACGGTCTTGGATGTCCACTCAAAACTTATCAAGAACCGAACTTACCGCTATCTCAGGTGCGCATTTGTTGTCAGTACAGAAGCAAAGATTGCAACACTTCCTCTGAGTTCTATAAAGTTAGGAACTCTACAAGATCTGTCCAGACAGCCAGCCTGTCCCGAGGACGATTCCCTATATGTGGTTAACTGTCTCTTTGAAGAGGAAAATCCGACCCCCTCATCTGATGCAATTTCAACGTTGCCTACAGAACCCATTCCACTTTCCAACATTGGAACAAGTCATGGAAATGATATCATTACCCGACAAGCCCACATGCGTAGTGGGACAGAAGGTCCCTCGTGTGACATACGTGCCACAGTGACACTCCCACAGCCCCGAAATACGCCAGAAGATAACATAATTGCTCAGAACCAGGTCTGGAAGCTTTCATCAAATAGTAGCACGCTCAATGGACCCGTCACAGGATTGGCCTGTAAGATACAGTGTCTAGACGGCACATTTATTCAAGGAGCCGCACGGCATATGTTTAATGCTATGGACTGCTTCATGGCTATGATGCCAGTGACCCATTTAGCGCGTATTGTTGAACTCACAAATGATAATTTGCTGAATCGCAGCAGTTTACCAACTACAACTGGAGAAATTCTGCGATTCTTTGGAGTGTTAGTTCTCATGACGAGAGTACAGCTCGGTAATAGACGTGATTTTTGGCGGCGAGACTCTGGGAGTGAATATTTACCGTCATACAATTTTGGAAAAGCTATGGCGCGCTCAAGATTCGAATTGTTACGAAGCTGTATTCGATTTAGCAAGCAGAACGCAACAGCACCAGTGGGTCCGAATGCCAAAGAACGGCACCAATGGCAACTGTGTGATGATTTTATAGTTGCATTTAATGCGCACAGGCAGGCGAATGTATTCCCATCGGAACGTCTATGCGTTGATGAGTCGATGTCACGTTGGTACGGTTTAGGCGGCAGCTGGATAAGCATTGGATCCCCACACTATGTTGTGCTTGACCGGAAACCAGAAAGTGGGATGGAGATTCGAAATATCGCTTGCGGTAGTTCGGGTATCTTGCTTGGTTTGAAAATCGTGAAAACAGCAGCCGAAACAGCACGAACATCCTCGGACGAACACAATAACGGCACAAATGTATTGGTGGAGCTGGCTGCACCGTGTAACGGCAGAGAGCGAATCATTTGTGCAGATAGCCACTTTGCATCCGTGGATGCCGCTGAAGCACTGCTGGGGATGAATCTCCGGTTTACTGGTGTGGTGAAAACCGCCACCTCTCGCTTTCCGATTGGTTACTTAAATCGCCTGCCAATGTATGATAAGGGAGATTCTATATCTCTTATCACGAACGTAACGGTCAATGGGCAGAGCAAAAAAATCGGGGCAATTTCGTGGCTTGACCGCAGTCGAAGGACATTCGTCACAACATGCGGGAATATGCAGGAATCTTTTTGGCAGACCCGCACGCGATGGCGCCAATTTGGAGATGGCGCTTGTCCTACCGTAATCAATATTGAGATGCCTCGACCTGTCTTCGAGTACTTCGACGTTGCTGGCATAATCGACCAGCACAATCGTGTGCGAAAAGACAGTTTAGATTTCGAGAAGAGCATCGAAGTGAAGGAATGGAGCTTCCGTATGAATAGTACTGTGTTAGGAATGGTTTGTACTGATGCATGCTATTTATATAAGTTTGGGCGGCGAGGTCGCCCGATGATGTACCCCACAGCTTCTGGTGTCAATTGGCCACGGACTTGATCAACAACTCGTGGGATGAGACAGGTGTACGACGGCGGGCATCCAGATCTTCGTCTGGCTCTGACAGTCCAGATGCAAGTGTCGTATTGGGACAGCCTCGTGGTGGAACTGACGTTCATTTGACACCTACTAAGCGACTGCGACGCACCAGAACAGGACGCGTACGGGGCGCTCGTATGCAGAACAAGTGCAAATTATGTCCTAAGAAGACGAAATGGATCTGTTCTAAGTGCTTGGACAACGGGGGAGGTGAGATATTTTTATGTCATTCCCAAACGCAGCGTTGTTGTTTCGAGGCTCACTTAGACGTGGTTCAAGACTAGATTAATATCCCCAGCCCGGCGAAGTTGAGCTCAGCAACGGTATTTTGTACGTAAAGAACAGTTTTGAGCATTTATGAGAGTGCGCGATTGTAGTGAAGTTGTTTTGATGATTAAGTTTACGGGGGCAGCGTTCGTACGATACAGCGAATTTTCCACAGATGAGTACAGATCCATGAAGGTAAATGCTTTTTTGATGCAGGTAAAATGTATTCCGGGAGTTCAAGTTGTGTATTCCTCCTTTAGGGTGGAGTGCGAGGGACATTGATAGTCTTTAAGTGGACTGGATCTGCGTTTAAGAGAAGCTGGGAACTCTTTCGAGTTCATCCTCATTTGAGGACTTGCGATCCTCAAATGAGGAAAAAAATGTCAAATAGACACTAGCTTCCTCCTTTCTTACCAACCCGTACGATCTATACTGCATTGAATCAGAGATTCACTCGGTCGTAGAATGGCGTACGTGTACAGTAGCACACGTGTGGTCCGTGCTGTAGTTGGTAGCTATTACGCGTGTACGGCAGTGCACACGTGTGCGCTGCCGTAATAGCTACACGTACGTGTAGTGGCAGCATCCGCGCGGTAATTAATAAATCTGGCGTTAGTTTTTTACTAGTGTACAGTACCTCGCACGCACTAGGCGGCAGGAACTGTACTGGGACAGGTGTCCGAGGCGTTCCTCTTAGGGGTTAAGACCTGGCACCACTAAACTGGGGCAAGCTCGCCCCCATCCCTTTCGCGCCTTTATACGACCGTTCGGAAAGTCTATCCGCGCGCTGGCTTCCAACCCATTACCGGTCGCTCCCGTTCATGCACCACGGGGCGACTGCGCGTAACTGACTAGTGAGCCTCTCCCTTTTCGCGAGTTCGCCCGTATCGGATCTATTCGCGCCGCGCGTCCGCGTGGCGTGTTCCCTCTGCAAAGCCTCCGCCTCTCACCCAACCCAGGGCGGAGAGGAGTTATGCCACATGTTGGTACTCTTGTGGAGGGGATGAATCCTGAGGTGGAGCCGCGCTCGTAGTCACTCGATCGCGCGCAGAGACGTACGGACGGAAAAGGTTGAGATATCACCGCGCCGATCGCGAAGGGTATTCGACGATGAACCGACCGGATCAAGGGGGAGACTCCGCCTCCGGGCGTCTGGGCACCTGCAGTGGCAGAGGCGCACCGCGCCCCCGGGTGGATAACCGGGAAGCCTGCTACGTA